GCAGATGGCAGTCCGGACGATTGTTTTCCCTCTTTGGCCTTGAGGACACGACGTCCGGGACTCGTAAAAACAATTTGAAATGTCAACTCGTCAGACCACAACACGCTTTTTTCCACTTGGCGTCGGTCGATCTCAAATGAGGCCAGAGAAAACGCCGGTGTTTCTGGCCGATGTTATAAATGGCTCTCACTTTGCGTCTTTGAGTTTGAACTTGCATTTGGAGATGTGGCAGACCACCTGTGTTAACTAACCCCGCTTTTCTCTCGTGTTCCCGGGGTCCGTGCGGCGTTATCCTTTCCACCGTGATGCCAGTGAGGGCATTTCTTGTTGGTTTTGCAGCCTTGCCGCTTACGCACAGAAATTTCTTCTCCATATTCTGGGAATCTTTTGATGATGCGATGGACCTTAGATGACCTCTTTAAATGTGCTCATATTGACAGAGTCGTGAATCTCGCACTATTCTTGCAGATGAACGACTGACCCTCTGGGGAATGCTCCTATTATTTGGGGGAAATGCGTTGCAGGCGTCCAATTCAAAATGAAAGCATATTTGCATGAAACAGTCACGTTCATCAGTTTGGACATTTTCAATTGATTTCCATTCGCCACCATGATCATCATCCATCCGTTTTCTAATCCGCGTATCCTCACGGGGGGGTCGCGGGCGAGCCGGAGCCTATCGCGGCCGTCTTCAGGCAAAAGCGGAAACTGGTTGCCCGCCAATCGCACACAGAAGAACAATCGCTCTCACAGCTAATTGAGAGTGTTCCATGAACCTGCCACGCATGTTTTTGGAATGTGGGAGGAAACCGGAGTACCCGGTGAAAACCCACGAGCAAACTCCACGTCGGAAGCCCGGAGCCACAATCGAACCTTGCACTCCTGAGCTGTGAGGCGGACGAGCCAACCAGCCGCCCGACGATCCAACCGCCGTTCAGGCTACTCTACATGCTGTGCAATGGATGGGGGATTTCATCGCAGTCAAGTCAGCACAGTCAAGTGTGGCGTATCAATCTGGGTCCGCGGAGTACCTCATCTGCCCGCCTGTTATCTCCACCTCTCATAAAGCATGACAGCTCTTAATAGGGATGCTGAAGTTGGCCAGGTTTCATGGCGCCGGATGAATCAGAGCTCATCTACATCTGGCCCACCCTTCGCCGTCGCTCAGACTTCACACAGCAGCAGCTCAGAAACCACCTGGGTCTCGACGGTCCCGAAGCGATCACGAGAGGCAGGTACCCTTACAATTAGCGAACAGCCCTCCGATCGCTTTGCCGGCGTTTGGAGGCGACGAGCATCAGAGGCTCGCCTTCCGCGAGGACGTAACACGCGCCTCGCCTCGTCCCACTTCATTCCACCTTAATTGCGTCCTCATTCTTCACCTGCTAACAAAGCGGCGCAGATGTGGCAAGCACATCAAAGTATGGGAAGGATGGGAGGAGGGCGTTGTTTGTCGAAGAAAAAAAAAAATGAAAGGGGAAATTGGTGTTGTGTGAGCCCGAGCCAGTGCCACCTCAGGGAGAAATGCTGGAAAAATGTGATATTTTACACCTGCATCGAAGGGGTGAGCAATACGAGGCAGGGCGCAGCAAGGGAGGCAGTAATTAGAGCAGAGAGTGCGCGTGTTTGAAAAGGATTGTTACGATGTTTCTGGGCCTTGCCACCGGTCGCGCTTCAGCATTCGGTTGGGTGAGACGCACTCGATGCCAGATGATTCAAAATGCTAAACCTGGTTATGAATGCTCGGAAAAAAAAAGTGGTGGAAATTGAAGCAAATATGCTAATATTTGTTGGGGTGATAAATAGCTGGCAAGCTCCGTGTCATGAATAATGCTCTTGGCTCTAATTCCTCATTAAGGCCCCCGAAGAAGAGAGGCAAAATGCACGCATTGTTGCTGTGATTTTATTTCCAAATTAAAATGACACAGCAGTAGATAGCGACTCCTTCCCAAATGAAGTCGATTCAAATGATTGTGTCACGCAGCTGCTGTGCCGCCTGGATGTCCCGTGAAACCAATTAATGGGAGAGTTAAATCTTGACAAAGTAATTGAAGCGGGGGGGGGGGGGCAATGAGAGAGTCTCAACCGGGTTATCGGAGCGGGACCAAAGACGACTCGGCGGTGCGAAGCCTGCGTCTTTAGTTGATATGTCAAAGTAGCAGCCCGTCTGTTATTGGCACCCATGAACTTACGTAAATATCTTTTTTTTTTCATCATGAGTTGGGGTCATCTTTAAAAGAAACGTTCGTCACTTCCATGGCACACAACGGTAAGAGTTGACCTGGCTGTCACTCATCCCTTCACGCCGGACCTCATCATGTGAGCCACGTCAAGTCAAACCGTCTGCTCCCACTTCCTTGCGCGCTGGTTTCGGTGTCATCAAAGGGGCGTGTCATTTATCTTACAAAAGGTCGCTTGAAAAGAAGTCACCGGTGGTGTCCTCCTTGTCACTCAGCCATCGTGGTCACGTGCTCTGTGACTGACTGGCAACCTGTCCAGGATGCAGTGCCACTTTTTGCCATCCTGGCTAAGCTGGCTAAGCTTTCGCACCCCGTGAACCGGAACCGGATAAGCAGGATAGAACATTGCCAACCTGAAGAGATACTGAACTGTATGATGACCTGGAATTTCTATTTCCATTCTACCCTTTGGTGGAAAGGTTCCGAATGGGAAGAAATCCCCGCTTCCTACAAGTGTCTCATCTTGACGTGCACTGAAAGGGGCCAACATTGCAGACCGACGACGTCTACTAGCAAGTCATTTGAGCTTTTCCGAATGTAAAATGGGCGCCTTGGCTCGACAAAGACCGGAAAACACGTGTCTCGTATGAATTCCAAGCACCCTCAAAAGAGGGCGTATCCCTGATTAGGTGCTAGTGATGTCATCTTTGAAATGGGATTCAGACATTTAGTACAGAAGCCAACATTAAGACGGTGTCGTAACAGTAAGGACCGTGGGTTCGGAAATACGTCGCGGGATACATCTGCCTTTTAAGCTTGAGGTCGGTGTTGCAACACTGACTAAGTGTTTCTCTTCGTTTTCTGACTTCTGATGTGGTTTCTGCAATGCTCAAAGACAAATCAATGAGGCCTCTCGGTTTTCCCCCTCGAAATTACATCTTTTGCCTCAAACGTTTATTTTTGCAGCGCATTTTGTGCGGGGATGAGTGACAGCCAAAACAGCAATCACACTGCACAAACCGCTAATCACGGAGCAGGCCTCACACACACACACACACACACACACACACACACACACACACACACACACACACCAAAGCACACCGTCACACGCCCCACA